GCGCAATATTCTAACAGAAAGGCAAAAAGAGAGTTAACAGTTCCTGAATGTTTAATAAATGTTAAATTTTCACATCCACGTAACTGACTTTGTTAGAAAATGTGCCGTGGGTGGAGGACATTGTTAAGCAAGTTAGCACAAAAATAGACATGAGCTCTTCGATTTTGGTAAAAGTAAGTTGAGGGGTTTAAAAGAACTGTGCTAAACAAATCAGGTGAAGAAAAAGTTAGCACATAGATTAAAGTTAACACAACCTCTGGGGCAAAAGTGTTAAAATTTTAAACAAAAATGATGATGCAAGTTTAGATACTACCTATTTTCACTTATAAAAGCGGCACGAATTCCTAAACTACTATCCGGACTGCAGAATAGGTCACGACGCATAAAGCGTTCTATTCGAGGGCGAATGTGCAAACGGGCTTACCGGAGCCTTCAACGACCCGAGAAGGAAGAGACACTATCGCAGGCCCTGTCTTGCAACGCTGTTGTCCATTCAACCCATTGGGTTTGTCCGTTTGAAAAATAAACGTCTGTCCCCGTTGAAGAACGTAATGAATGCGACCGGCAGAATTCGTGGACGCATCCGAAACAGGCGTCACTGCACAGTCCTCAGAAGACGGACTGCGTTTAATTGTCTCTATCGGATCTTCCCGCTCGATGTGCGACTTCTTAGATCTTTTATTTGGAGAGGGATCCGAGCCAGAGGAACCGACGCCAGAGTCCGATAAAAATGGCGAAGTTGAACAATTACTTTCCAGGTCCGGAGATAAGTGGAGGTTTTCCGATGAAGTTTCGGATGAGTTAGCATTCATCAAATTATCCTGGCAGATGAAAGGATCCCATTTGTTTGACGGATTGCTCACAGTCACAACTGGGGCTTCGGGTGTGTTTTTAACTTCAACCTCGTCACCGACAACCATATCATTTACAAATTCTACAGCATAGAAAGAGGCGTATCGACATACCATATATTTCCGGATCGAGATTTTCGATTTTACTGATATTTTTTGAAACAACATCTGTCAATAAGTCATCCGTGTATAACTTTTCTTCAATCGAATTAAAAACTTCCGTAACCCAAGGCTGCTCAAGTTCCAATTCGCACTTAACTCATTAAGCGACAAAAACGAACGTACCAATTCCTCTTCATCTATTTCCGGAAAGATATCACATAACCTAAGGTCGTCCATCCTAGACGACAATAATCAAACCCACCGGGTAACATAAAAGTAATAAGGAAGATGTATGTGAAGAATTAAAACACCAGATATATGACTTAAGTTACGTATGACACTTTGAATTATTCGTAAACAAGTAGACTCTTAATTGATTCTGGGTAATATTCAGGTGCCCGAATTTCCGAAAAAGCACAGCTATTGGTTGCGAG